GAGAACTGGCCCAAACATATGTGCCTGACCTTTCACTTGATCCGCACCATTGGATGGAGATTACTAAATCGGTTCCTAACTTTCTGCTTGTTGAAATTAGGGAACGTTGTACCCTGGATGTGTTTCTTTATGCATTCGAATCCCTTGGTATTGGGAACAAGGTGTACCTTGAATTCTCACTTCATTGTCCTGATTGGTGGTTCCTAACGAATTCATTCCTAACTAGAAATGTTCAGAGTGATACCGAGACCATTTTGGTTTCTCCTGTTACCTTGTTGACTGGCACTTTTGGATGGGTGAGTTCGTGTTCCATGGATACTTTTTTAAGGATGATTGTGAAAACACCAAAGTGGGAGTTTACTAGTAGAGGTTCCATGATTTGTTCTACAATTTGGCAAAATAATATAACTCTGATGGCCAATGGTATTTTCTACCCTTTCATAAGTGGCTTGACTGAAGTAATTTCCACTTTTACTTTATCTAGACATATGATTGATACTATGACATCAGTTTGTCTCATTGTCTCCCATTGCAACACATGTGTTACTAGAACCATTATCAGGCTTTTGGAAAATCTGCCAACTTGAAATGGCCTACAAATGGACATTTTAGACAAGAAAATGAAGTGTTTGCCGTTCTTATCCGTGGACAGATCATCTCAAAATCATGGCAGAGTCACTTTCTCTTAATTTTAAAAAGTTGATTTCTATGGTTCTTTCTCTAGCAGTGGGTACTAAGCAGATTGGTTGCTCTTCTTTTTCTCCTAATCTTGAGATTGAGAACTTCTATTGGATGCTCATTCTTCCCACGTTGCAGTCTCCGCATGCGACTGAGCATCCTATGCTCATGGATAATGCATTGGAAATTTTCATAGCAATCTGGAATGCTACACTAGAAACTATGATATTACAGTTTTCTCTAACTTTGCCTCAGTTCTTGAGTGTCAAGTCAACAGTTATGCATTCATTTGCTATCAATGACCTTGACCAGTCACAAAAAAGCAAGCACAATATTCTCCTGGAGCACTTTGGTGCAAGAAAAGCTAGTTTAGGCCTTGCTTACTTCAATTTTCATGATAATGGGATTACTGCTCTTCTCCAATTCAATCTGGCAATATCTTTTTTAAGCTCTTATTTCCCTTATGTTCATCGATGGCACATACTTTTATGGAGCCTATCAGCAAGTTATAAACTATATCTGCTTGGGATGTTTAAGGCTGCTATGTCTTACACAGGACCATGGTGTTTTGAGCTAATTATCAAGCTGGTGAGAAGTGTTGGGGTCCAGCTGTACCACACTATATATACCCACGCCATTTTGGGACTTTGGACTGCCAGGAGTCTTGAACAAACCTGTAGTGTGATGTATGGTGTTTTGAGCCATTTTGGAAATGTTCATGTTATCAAGACTTGGGCCATTTTGTTTGCAGATCATTCCTTCATGGTCAAAGAGCTATTACGTTTGGTCGAGTTGATACAATATTGTGTGGATGATGCCAATTTGTCTGATGCATCGCTACTTGCTCCGAGGATGCCAGATTATTATTCGATCAACACCAAATTTGATGATACCTACTTGTAGAATGTATCACGGTATAAATTGAAGATCATTTTGGGTCATTGTTCAGTACCATTATATGCATCAGGATCATTAATGCCAAAGTTCTTTGGTTATATCACTTTTCTGGATTTTTGGAAGCTAGTGTGCTTGTGGAATGCTAGCAGATTTGGGAATTTAGCATTTTCACCAAGGGTATATGCGGCTACATATCCAGCAACTGAGGTCAAGTTTGCTAGGATTGAATTGGTACCCCACTATTATATTTTCTATCCTTTGCCAGCCATGGTGTTTTGGGCTTTCAGCTTTCGTCAAACCAAAGGAGAGGTTGAATATCATTTTAGGAGATGTGTGCTTCATAGCTCCTGCACTTCTACAGAGACCATGCATGGTAGAAGCACAACTTGGCAGGCTTGGTTGAAAATCTGTTTGGAAGCCAATTTTCTTGTGGTCTGTTTGGAGATTCACACTGCACTGGTTTTGGAGGCATCTATCATGATACGTTTTTTGGAACCCCAAGGCTTGGGAGAACAAGCCGCGCAAGCCTCTACATGCCAACTTGACGGCATGAGGACATGCCTTATTTTAAGGGGGAGGGAATGTTAGGATCTTAGTTATTGGGTTTATATCTTTATGGTATTTTGTCTTATTTTTGTAGTAGTTGGCTTCATCCAACGGTTCTGAGGATAGAGATGTGTTCCCATCTGGGCACTCCTCTGCTAGGGTTGTATATAAGCCTCATTTCACCATTTGGGAAAGGGATGAATGAAAAGAACTGTCATTTTATTTCTTACTTTCCTTGCATTTTCCTTTTCTTCTCCATTCCTACGGAATGGGTCCTATCAAAGAGCGAGTTTGAGGGAATCAGCAAAGTTGCGACACAGACTAAACGAGGATTCAGTGAGCAGAAGTGGCAGCATTGTTTCTTAGTATGTGTATGAAGATTGATCTGCCGCAATGGAATACCACTACACTTGTACTAAGCAATGGAATACCGCTACACTTGTACTAACTTATAGTATCTACTGTACTAGTAAATTTACGAGGAAAACTAATGAAAAGGGCTTGAAAACTTTGAGTTTGAATGATAAGGACAAAATAAAGGGTAAAGTGAATAGTGTCATGATTGACTTTTTAGTGTAAAAATGTGGTTTTTCGTTAAAGTGAACAGTACCGGGTGCTTTTCGTTAAAGTTCCCAAATTTACGCCATCGATTAAATTATATATACTAAAACTGTTCATTAACAGTGATTTGACGAAATTGTCCCTCATTTGCTACCTAATTCTCAGCCATCGATTAAATTATATATACTAAAACTGTTCATTAACAGTGATTTGACGAAATTGTCCCTCATTTGCTACCTAATTCTCAGCCTTTTTCCTCTGTTATACATTGAAATCACGTATTTACCCCCATTGTACGCGTGTTGGTTATCGTGGAAGGAAATGGAGTCCAAATCTTCTGCACCCAAAAATCCTTGTGGCTTCTCTGTGCCTTTGATTTTATTAAGCATGTCAACAATCACACCCAATCAAATCAAACTTCAAGTCCCGAGTTCCAAGACATGCTCAATAAAATCAAAGGCACAGAGAGGCCAAAGGGGTTTTTGGGTGCAGAAAACTCTCTCTCCAAAAAGAGAGGTGGCATTAGGAATAATGGCTTTTTTGAGAGAATTAGAGTTTGATCTCTTCATTTGGGTTGTGCATATTTCATTTGATCTCTTACTTTTGGTTGTGCAGATTTCATTTGAATTAACTTGGGTTGTGAGGAAGTGAATAATTATTTGAATTAATTAATTTCTCTTGGGTTGTGCATATTTCCTTTGAACTAATTTGGGTTGTGTTTGAGCATTGTACATGCATGAACGTGGGTAAAGAGTATGAGGATAAAGGGAAGAGAAAATGTTGTGATCATCCACCTCAAACGATTTGTTGAGGTATTTTTTGTACCTTTTTTTTGTTTAAAATTATATATTTTTCATATGTTAGCAGTATGTCATCGAGGAATGTTAGTGCCTCTTTATTCAAAATTTTCTTTATTTAAATATATATATATGTGTTTAGAAGTGTAAATTTGTATAATTGAATCTTTGCTCCAATTTTATATTTCATTTTTTTGTGACCTTCTGCAGAACTTGGAATCAGCTTTTCACATAACATGGATGATGAATATAAGAAACTCATACACAGAATTACTCCACCAAGGTATATACAAATTAAAATCATAACTTGCGTCAATATAGAATAAATTATTTTTTAGCACACAAGTTTGACATAATAATTTTTCTCATAATTTATAAAATATTGTACAAATTTATGCTACCTGGCAATCAACGACTAATATTACTTTCAAGAAGGCAAGACTAACATATGACATGTCACATCGGTATATTTTTCACAAATAGATGGTAAAATTGTACACATCACATTAGACAAGTTTCATCTTTTTTGCTTCCATTGTAACACATTTCTAATTAACATTTCGTACTAAATTTTGATTAAACTTTATTTAAATGTTTGATTTCAGAATTTCACAAGTCGAATTACCACCTCAATAATAGAAAAAAATACATTTGATCTCCGGTTATAAGGTGACCTCACCTCTCTCTCTCTCTCTCTCTCTCTAAACTCAATTTTGAACTTTTTATGCATATTTTTTTTTTAATCATTGGCTCTCTTTATTATTTTTGTAGTTGTATTCACAACTGTCCAAGAGAGTACAACAAAAGGTCAATTTTTCCATTGGAAGCACCTCAAGTTAGGAACAAGTCTGTTATCCAATTACATTCATGGCATATAACACTTGAAAGGTCAATTTTCCATTGGAAGCACCTCAAGCTAGGAACAAGTCTGTTATCCAATTACATTAATGGCATATAACACTTGAAAAAGCTAATGATGTATTTCAACATTGTTTAGCATGTAGCAAGCTTTGTTTGACTGATATACTCAATACTGCATTTGTAATTTTATCATTGGTCCAACTTTTTGAATAAACAATTTCTCTTTCCTTGCACTTTGAAAAAATGGATTTTTATATTTTTTGTTAGTATCTAAATTTGTTCCATTCATGATAAGGTTTAGCAAAATATCTCATATGATTTTCAATCCCGTACCATCGCCGGTGCAAATTTCTAATATCAACTAAGTACCAACTGTACCATGTATTGTCAATCGGTACTTGTGTCAAACAATCTTTTCGTGTAACTTTTTAATATTAACTGACGTACATATAACATGACTAGTAGTTAATAAATGAGATTCACCATGGCACCGAACCAAAAAATTCTTATCCCTTGACGTATATTTATATTCCAACATCATTGTTATTCCAAGGGCAAGATCTTGATGGAATATCAATTGATTTTGGAATGAATTCTGCAAAGTTAATTTAGTGCCCTGGCTGATATAAGTTGTGGAATCCAAGTAGCAAATTGCAAGCGTGGTCCTCTAAACAGTGCCAACCATTCCAACTTTAACCATATTCCCAAGTCAATTTGTTGGCGTAAAATTCCAATTTTTTTGGTGATGGTTGTTCAGATGTTCTCCCCAATTCCAATCCCTATGCTCCGATAGAGATTTGCAGCTTCTTTGATAATGGATGGCATGGAAAAATACAAGGAGTAATTTACTTTAAAACTGTTGTCTATATATTGCAAAGAACATGCATATAGTTGGCCAAAAATTACAAATGGCTAGCATAGAGGATTGGGGAAGAAGCCAAACTCTACACAGGCTTGCCAAGCAGCTTGAGTTTTACAAACCTCCCTCCGCACCAGATAAATCAGAGGATGATAACGAAAGCGATACATCTGTGAACTCTGGTATAAGCTTCAACTCCTTAGCAGTCGGCAATGAAGAGTGTTCTTGTGTCAAGTTGAGATTGAGAGAGAGAAGAGCAGCTGTCCTGATATGCATCTTTGAGGGAGCTGAGGGTGAGCTAAGAGTTATTCTTACTAGGAGATCCATGAATTTGGCATCACACCCAGGTATAATATGCTAAATTTGTGTGGAAATAATTTCTTATTTGTTAATAGTCTCAAATTAATGTTAGACTTGGCCATGGACGCTAGGGCTTTCTAAATGTGTTCTAGAGATTACACAGGAGATGTAGCATTGCCCGGCGGAAAAATGGAGAAGGAAGATGCAGATGAATCTGCAACAGCACTAAGGGAAGCCATGGAAGAGATTGGACTCGATCCAAGCCTAGTTCAAGTTGTTGCAAAGCTAGAGTGCTTTATGTCCCAGGTACCACGTACATGTATATGCTCATTTCTTTTCTTTTGATATATCGGTACTACGAAATTTGAATCGAAGGTAATTTTTTTTTGCCTTGCGCAGCATTTGGTCACCGTTGTCCCAGTGATAGGACTGGTAGCTAGAATTGAAGATTTCAAGCCTGTACTCAACGCCGACGAAGTTGATGCCATTTTTGATGTTCCATTGGAGATGTTTCTCAAGGTTATTTCTACCATACAAAAACAGTGTATTGCACTAGAAAGGTCACAGGCAGAGCATGCATATGTCAATTTATGTTCTTTTGTCAAAACTTAATTAACAGTGATTTCTTCTTGTGTAATGCAGAATGATAATCACAGATTTGAGGACAGAGAATGGATGGGTTGCAAGTACATTCTCCATCTTTTCGATTTTGAATCAGAGCAAGGGCCGTTTCTAATTTGGGGACTAACTGCAAGCATTTTAATTCGGGTGGCCGCTGTCATCTACCAGCAGCCTCCATTATTCCAAGGACACAGCCTCCCTGACTTCCAAGAATTACAAAAAGCCTTGCATAGTGTGCATAATGTTGATGTAACATGAGATTATATACTACTACATATGTTGTAGAATTAAAATAAAGAAATGAATCCCTATTGATTCATCGTATTCCAGGGTCTTAGACGATGATTGAAACCATTTAATTTTTAGATTCTCTTTCAACGGTTATCCATCCTAAAAGTCAACAAAATTAGTGATTGCTTATATGCTTAATTTTTAGCTTTATACCAAACCACATTTGCACATTTTTAAGTGACCAAACAGTTTTGGATTTGGATGATTTTTATGCTAGGATAACCTTGAAGACTTCAAATATAGACAATTTCGATCGTTGGATTGCATTGTGGCACAGCCTTAGGAAGAACTAGAAAATATGCCCGTTCGTTGCTGCGGAAATTGAATGCATCACCCGTAACTGTATAAATAAGACATATTTAACCTGAATAAATTAAACACAATCATGAATGAACAGAGAGACACATGAGTGAATGAGGTCAAAAGGATAAGCAGCTTGGCTTTTATATACATTCAACTAAGCTGACATGTAAAGACATTGTACAATTAGCTAGACAAAACTGAACATTCAAGTAGCTAACTTTCCAAGCACAAACGTTCAAAGCAAAAAATATGCAGAAGGCTTGTTTCCATAAGAAACAGAATAAAAGCAACATGCAGTTGACACATATTTTGCTTCTGCAGTTAAAGATGGCACACACTCAAATTGCACAAACACTGCACACACTCACACACACCTGCATGGCACAAAAGCAGTGTAAAATCTACATGTTTAGGCAATATCATCACGCTTGAGAATTCAAATTGTACAAACACTGCACACACTCACACACAGGGGAACCATATTATGAACCAGAAGCTTTCAAACTATGCATCAAAAGCAAAAGCAAGATATAAGAAATGAAAATGAAAAAACAAAATGAAAGCTAACATATGTCTTAGGCCAACATATTTATAAGATATGGATACCAATCCACTGGACTCTAAACACCTAATAGTCATGAATTTAGCTAAAGAATGTTAGCCACAAAAATCCTATTAATGAATCTCAAAATTTTCCCTAACCATTAAAATGGTAATGAAGCTCAGAATATTCCCTAAACACCGAAACCCACAGTACATGCTGCCTTGAAACACCCCAACCCCCTTTTTATATTTTAAAATTTGTTTAGTCCTTAATTGGTGAGCCCGTGGGGCCCACCTTGTTTTATTTTATGTTTTCTGGTCTCCCTCTCTCTTCTCTCAGTTCTCTCTTCTCCCTCACCTCTTCGGCAACTCTCTCCCCCTCACTCTCTCAGCTCTCTCTATCTTAACCCCTTCGAGAGTTTTTCTTACCAACAATCATCACCATCGTCTTTATCTCGTCGCTACGAACTCAACCATAGTCTTGGCATCTTGAAGTCGAACCACGAAGTCCCGTACACGAGCTCCGGCGAGCATGCCCCTTTCGAGGCCATTTCCGGCCAAACCACGACAAGTTAGACGTCGTGTGAGGTACCATTCTCTTCGTCTCTTCAAGGGCTACAACTTTTGTTTTTGTCTCGCTTGATTTCGTTGAGTAGTGACAAAGTATAGCCGTTTAAAGTTGGGTAGTTTTCCGGCCGAATTTCCGGCCTTCTTCTTCGGCAAAACCAGGCCTCTCAGGCCGTTTAGAATCCCACGGGCCTTAAGCCCGTTTTGCCTTAGCCCAAATCCCCAGCCCGTTTGATTTTTATTTTTAGTTATTTGTTTTAAAGATCCCAAAGGCCACAGGCCTTATTTAGAATGGCCTTGGGCCGGTTTTTGGTTAAGGGGCTCTAAGCCCAGCCCTTTAATAAGGCCTTAGGGCCTGTGTGTATGTGTATGGGCTGTGTGTGTGTTAGTAGTGTATGTATGTGTGTTTGGGCTTAAGCCCAAACCACCATTTTTCATCCTAACCCTTTTTAACCAAAAACCCTAGGTTTCTAAAATCCATTTAAAACCCTAATCCGGATTTCAAGCCTAAAACCCGTTAGACCTAATTTGACCGTTGACCCCAGGTCAATGTTGACTTTAGGGTTGACTTTTCGGGTTTTCGTCCGAGACCCTTCTTAGGGTAATTCGACGTTCTGAATCTGTTTCCAATGTCCATTTTCTCAAATTCAATTGCTATTATATAGTTTTATTTATTGGACTCTTTATGTGCTTAGGGACAATTATTGTGACGTTTCCGTCTTCGCTAGTGGTGCAGCTTTTAGCAACTAAGTACTGTGAGTGGACCCCTTCTAAAATTACATGATTTTATAGTAAATGCATAAATGATTAGCATGCCTACGGATTTATGATTTGATTTATGTGAAGCTTGTTGATTTAATATATTGATTTTCGTCTCATGTTTTGGTGAGGAAATAAATTGTTAGCCTATTTTGAGCTATATTTTAATATATCGTATTTTCTATAAAAACCATGAACTGGTAGACTATCTGACAGATGACGATAGGATGCTAGAACATGTTTTTGAACCCCTCTTTATAGTGTAGACAATGATCGGTATCTATGCTATGAAGTGGTTATTTATGAGATGCGTAACTATTTGTGCGTACATAGTAGACACTATGCCGCCTGGGGCGAGGATCTGGTGTTGGCAGTTAGGCCGGGAGAAATAATCCCTAGCGAAAGGCTGAGGGACACGGTGACAAGCATTGGGCCGGGAGGGAGTTATCTCTGGCTACGGGCACAGAGACTTAGGTGCAGGCATTGGGCCGGGAGTTATGTTTATTCGGTGATCTTACTAGCAGCACACCGCGTTTACGAGACGATCTGTGAGACGATTCATGCTTTGGTTGTACGCGATGATATTCCGCGATATGGCTTTTGAGATATTTTTGGCATGCTAGGATTTTTATTAAATCCATCACTTATTATGCTAATAGTTTTCACTATTAAACTGTGGGGGTTAGTATCTTGATAACTGTTTTATTATTATTATATATATAAATTTGGTCTACTCACCTTTGTTTTGCGCCCCCATTCAGGACTTAGGATCAAGGCATCTAATCCCGGCGTCAAGACACTTCCGCAGCAGCGTCTTTGAATTCTCTCGATGTAGGACCCACTTCTTTATTCATTCAATTTTATCTCAATTCTTTTTAGTGATTAGGTTTAGTTGTATGTTCTGAACATGTTCCTAAATTATTAATTCATGGTATTTTAAATTCATAACCCTTATTTATTTCTTATTCTTAGCTTTTGTATTAATTAATGGCTTTCGTCACCCTCGGGTGTCGGCCAGCACGTGTCTATCCTGGTATTCGAAGAATATCAGGGTCGGGGCGTGTCATGCCTACCCAACAAAGATAAATTAAAAACAACAATTGCAAGATCAATAAGGACTTTGTGAACCACAACGATTAAAAGGGCCGGAAAAACAATAATCCAGATAAATAAAAGAAAGTGCAAATTAAAGAGCACCAAAAAACCAAACACTTTCAAGGTTGTCAAACAAATTTTAGTTCAAGGGTTTGAACCCATTGATCTAACTGTAAACATACAAAGGACAGAAGAAAAAATGCAGAAGAGAAAATCCAAAATAAGAATGCCCCCATGATTATTGTTTTCATTTATCTCTCACAAACCAATCACATATTTAAAATCCATGTATGAAAGCTTTAGAAAGATAAATAAAAAATCCATATAACTAAATAGGCTGTGAACCCTAAACCCTTATTTTCAAGCTCAATATATTTGCCATTTTATCATGCGAAACACATCGAAAGCCAAAGTTCCCGATCAAGTTTACAACGACAAACACATCACAACTTGCTGTTTTTACGCGAAACACATCCAAAAGTCAATACATTTGCTGTTTTTATTCATAAACCAAGCTCAACCCACTTTATGATTGCAAGAAACACAAAAAATACAAAAGAAAATGCACACAGCATGAACCTCACCAAAAAATCTTCAACAAACAACACAATCTCACCAGCGGTGAAACAATAATGGCCTTGCGCCAATAGCCATCAATAACCAATGGGTTCGTGCCTTAAAACTTATTAATAATAATTAACAAACAATGGAAGCAACAAAAGCTTGTTAATAATAATTAACAAACAATGGCAGCAACCTAACAACAGAATTAACAGCACACTAAGCATCTACAAACCATTAACATTATTTCCCAAAATTTCTTCCCCAATTTCATCGATGGCAATTTTATTGATAGCAATTTTACAAATGGTCACCTAAGCATCTGCAAACCATTAACATTACACCAACTTAAGACAGCAATTACACATTCCACTGTTATCGTGGTGACACATAGTCAAAGGATGCCACTATTACATAGCCAAATCCAGTCCTGACGTGCACAAAAAAAATGTAACAACAGTCATGAAACCACCGTGAATAAATATACCTCAAAAGCCAAAGGGCCAAGTGCTCCGTCCAACGATCCAAGTTTCTGAAAATCTCAAACACAGCAAATCCATTAGCACTAACTCACAGAACAGCGACGATAATTATAGCTCAAAAACCGTGTTGAAATTCCATTAGCACTAATCACACACTGCCGGAACAGAGATCATAGGAAAGCTACACCAATTAAATGACAAAGACTAAAAACCACAAACAGGAAAAAAAAAAAAAACAAAGTTATCAAACAGGAGGAAACTGCCAGAATGAAACTGGCAAGTGGAGAGAAATATATATATATTCGAAAATTAGAAGAAAAATAAACATGATCTTATTTGTCAACAAATTGGAAAAAGAATACAACGAAGGCCTGGAAAGCTTCAACAAAAAATAAACAAAGAAAAGGCTCAACTTGTAACCACACTTATGGAGGTAATTACACACAATAAATAAATTATGATTAGTTAATTGTCCAGTCCCCCAATTTAACAATTGTTACATGCATGCGATCGAATTAGACCTGGGAAGTGGGAAACATACATAATCCTTAAGCACTGGGTTGACTGCAGGGCAAGCAAGTATCAAATTAGAATCAATATATAACATCGTTAATTTAACCTAATTTTAAATGACTAAAACCTTTCCTCCATACACCTTAATAAATTAAGTTTTTTTCTTTTTCTGGTGTATTTTGATTTTCCCTCTCTTTGTTTGATTTGAGCTCTAGTAGAACATGCGTTGTGATATATTTGATAAGTCTGCTCAAAAAGAGGAGGCTAGAGCCTAGAAACGCTTATACAGAAGATATTCCATAACGTTTCCATGTTGAGCTATGACCAAGGCAGAGTTAGACTCAAATCAGGATCACTACAGGTTCAGGGAAAGGATTGCCAAAAGAATGCATGTATAACTTCTCCTACAATTACCTAAGCATCCTATTAATATATGTGACATGGTACAGAGACTTTACAATCAAGAAAACGAAGAATGCAACAGTTGTAAGGTCTTGTTTCTTATCAAAATAGATCCCTCTTAAGAAAGGGACTTATATGCACTAAATTTGAATACTACTTAGGAGATAAACACACAAATTCCTAATCAATCAAGTTATGAAGGTCCTAAATCCCAATCCCACGACCCCATTTTCTTTCCCAAATTTTCCAGGCAACCAAACAGACCCCAACCTAATCCTAATCGGCAAATTTCTCAATCAAACACCACTCAATCATCCATCAAAAACCAAGGAAATTCAAGAAAACGAAGAATGCAATAGTTGTAAGGTCTTGTTTCTTATCAAAATAGATCCCAGGAATGAGGCAATTTTGAGAAGCAATTGTTGGGTAAGAGTACAAAATTGCATGCTTTTCATTTTAAAGTTCAAAATTTTAATTTCTATTCTGAAGATATATATTATGTATCTTCTCATCTTTTTCATGCATTTAGATACCTTTTGAGAGAAAGTTGCATGCTATTTTATTTCCATTTTGTGGTGTTCTAATCTTTCAAAAGTACTCCACACATGCAGTGCTTCTTCAAAAGTGGAAAAAAAAAACAGGGAAACTATGCGCCCAGTCAGATTTTAAAGTAAGTTTGAAAGTCATTATACCTCCTGTTAGTTTCTCCTATCCTCACTTGGGCTCCATATGGAAAGATTTTCTTGACAGTTCCTTCTAAAAGTGTTCCCTCCTTAAGGTATAACAGTTCCTGAAACATTATATGGCAAACCAATGTCAGTTCTTATGAAAAATAAGATCATAGAATCTCATAACAAACAATGAGAGAACATTGCAAGCAACAAAAAACATGAATAGATTAAATGTTAAAATCCAACTGACCCAAGCTTCTTTCTCACTCAATACTAAGTCATTCTTAGCTTCATCTATTCGAGTAATCTGCACATACATCCGACAACCCACCTACACCATTAGGAAACAACATGTGTAAGAAGCAGATTAACAAATCAAACATATGCAACTATTTAAGGGAGGAAAAAGTTAAACAATGAAAAGTTGTCAGTGCCTTGTTTAGAGGTTGAGGCAGGATGCAAATACCCGGCGTACCCTGCCTGTTGCCATTCCTAGTCTCATTACTTGTACAAATAGCTTCACCAAAAAGGAGATTTTCAAACTTGAATTTAAAAATTTGACTTAAGTTCAAATACGTCACAGATGAATTGATTAACTACAATATCTGCTGAAAATATATGACAAAAAGTTAAATTTGAATACTGATCAGGAGGTAAACACACAAATTCCTAATGAAGCAAGTTACCAATGTCCTAAATCCTAAGCACAAAAAAAAAAGCACACTAATCAAATTAAAACATACCCAATTATAAACTATCATTAAAAATGAATATTTCATCATTTTGGTTTAGCAGCATAAAGCCTCATTAAAAAGAGAAAAGGAGAAAATGCAGAGAGAGAGAATACAACAGCATAATCAATCAAGTTGATGCATATTTCAATCAAGCCTCAGTAACAACAGAAAATATGGCAGCACAAAGCATAACAGAAGTCAAGAAACCATTTTTAAATTTGAGTCAGAAGACACACCAACTGAAAATAGTGCATTACCTTTTAAATCAAGGGAGGAAACAGAAAAATCAAACTCTCCCATATACCTCCCTCAGTAACCCCTTTCTGACCAGCTAACCCCACAAACTGCACACAACCATGCCTTCCCATCAATTCTTGCGGAAATGGCTTCCAGCTGGAACAAAAATTCTGAAATCAACCCTACCCCCTAGCCCTCCATTTAGGCTTGGCATTTTGGACCCAACCCGTTAACCCGACCTGACCCAACCCGTTAATATTTGTATTTGGATGGATGCTTAACAGGTCGGATCGCTAACGGGTGAACCCGTTAACAACCCGTTAAATAACGGGTCACTTTGGGTCAACCTGTTAGACCCATTAAGACCCGTCAACACCCGATAGCACCCATTAGTTGAGGATATTTTAGTAATTTTTGTAAAGTCTTAATAACAAAAAATAAACTTTATGCAAAATAATAATAATAATAATAATTGTTACCGAGTGTTAACGGATGAAACGGGTGACCCGTTAGCTTAACGGGTCGGGTTCGAATGACCCGTTAACTTAACAGGTCGGATTGAACCCGATCCAAACCCAATAAACCCGACCTGTTTACAAGTCTACCTCCATCCCTGCCTCGCCGTCTCTCTGTGCACCCGTTGTCAACAAAAACAAAACCAAACTTTCGGGCACCCCTCTCTCCTCCCATCTTTACTCCCATCCCTTTTGCAACGCATGACTCTTCCTTCTCTCTTCTTCTCTCACGCACGACACTTCCATCTCTCCTCTTCTTTATGCCATTCTGCAGGCTGCAGGTTAGCCTTTGTCGGTGAGTCACGGCATCCACCTCACCTTATACCGAAACCAACCAAAACAAACCCAGCCACGGCCCAAACCCGCAAAAAGCCCATCCTCCCAAACCCAAAAAAGAAACTCCAGCCCGAACCCAAACCTTCCACAGAGCCCACTGATTAAAGCAATGGCATGGCGCACATAGAGAGAAAATCGAGTCCAACCCACAAAGGCCACTCTGTAAAGCAGTGGCTTGGCGGTAAATAGAGTGAAATCCGGGTCTAAACACTGTTCATTTGAACAGTGCAATTGGAATCCCTTCCCTTCTTTAGACTAAAGTAATGTCTGTGATATAAAATTTATGGGTAAATTACACAAAACTACGGGTCGAACGACACTATTATACTTCATCTTTTAAAAATGATAATGTCATACCTCATTTTACGAATTTGTGCCAATGTCAGACTTCCGTCAGTTTTTCTGTTAATTTCTCTGTTAAGTGCTGACGTGACTAAAGACGGGACCCACTCATTAATCTAACTAGATTTAAAAATAATAAAATATATTTTTAATAATAAAATATTAAAAAATTAAAAATAAATTATTTTTTTGTATAAAATTGTGGGATCCACCTTTACAAATCCTTCCAACCGTCCCCCCCTAACCTACCTCCACCACCCCCTCTCTCTCTCTCTCTCTTCTCTCTCCCTACCAACCTGCATCCCTAAAATCCCAAAACCCATAAACCCTTCCCCACCCGTCCCCCCCCCCCCAACCTTCCTCCACCACCCACCCTCTTCGATGCCAAGGAAGCCGACAATGGCTTCACCTGTAGCTTCTCGAGCTAGTCCCTGTTCATGTACAAAAAAAATAAAAATAAAAATAAAAACCAATTCGTCTTCCCCACCCGAGCCCACTCCCAAATCAGACACACCTCTTCTCCCCACCTGAGCCCACCCCCAAATCAAAGAAACTCATTCTCTCTCTAATCCCTGCACCATCTGGATAGGAAAGGTGAGGTCAAAGTCGAACAGGGCCGCCTTCTCAAGATTTGGTAGGTTTTGTCACATCCCGGCTCGGGGCGGATCACTTCCTGGGCCCGTTCCACCACCGTAGCACGATATTGTCCGCTTTGGGCTTACCATTCCCTCACGGTTTTGTTTTTGGGAACTCACGAGCAACTTTCCAATGGGTCACCCATCCTGGGAGTGCTCTGGCCTCCTTCTCGCTTAACTTCGGAGTTCCTACGGAACCCGAAACTAATGAGCTCCCAAAAGGTCTCGTGCTAGGTAAGGATGGGAATATACATTTAAGGATCACTTCCCTGGGCGATGTGGGATGTTACAGGTTTGATGAGATTTTTAGTTTTGAGATTTGTAATGGGTCTTGGGATTTTGAGGATGCATGTTGCCCAGAGAGAGAAGAGAGAGGCAAGAGAGATAGAGGGTGGGTGGTGGAGGAAGGTTGGGGGGGGGTGGGTGGGAAGGGTTTCTGGTGGGGATAAGGGGATCTGGGTTTTTGGGAAAGGGACACGGGTTGATGGGTGTTTTTTTGGTTTTTTGTTTTTTGTTTTTGTTTTTAATTTTTTAATATTTAGTTAATATTTAATTATTTTTTTAAATATTTAATTATTTTTTAAATATTTAATTATTTTTTTAAATTTTTTATTAATTTTTTAATAGAAAGTGGGCTCCAAATCAAACCACGTCAGCATTTAACTGAGAAATTCACAGTCAAGATAACAGAAGGTATAACATTGGACCAAATTCTAAAGATGAGGTATGACATTGTCAATTTTAAAATATGAGGTATGATAGTGTCGTGAGACCCATAGTTGAGGTAGTTTTTTGTCATTTACCCAAAATTTATTGTAGAAAGACCATGAATAGTCATAGTTTGGCAGAAACCTGAGCCTCCTGAACAAAGAACATGGAAATACAACAGCTACAAATAGGGGGTCCCTCTAAAAGTTATAATAATTGTTGTCGTTGGATTAAAATTCAATGACCCGTGTTCCTTGCTTAAGAGGCTTAGCCTCCTAAGCTGAGGAGAGGATCCAAATCTGTTCTCCAAAATATAAAACTGGAAAGGTTAGCACAGAGTTCTTTGAAATTCAGTTATCTAATTCAATGTAGCTGATTTATGAATGAATGCATTCCCTTTGTTCATGTTGTTGCAAACCAAGAATCCTTCTATCAATTTGCTTATTAGTAAAGCTATAATTTCATCGAAAAAATCCGACAAAAAATGATTTATTCAGAGTCAAAACTATCACTAACATCCGTGTATACATATAAGCAGACTTACATTACATGTTCCCTTTGCACATGCTCCGTACCATGACCTAGTCAACTCTATAGAAACTTCACCGTAGTTTCATGCATCTTTCATGGCGGAAAAATAGGTGCTCAAATAACCAACCTTGTTATTCCTGGCAAAGTTGTATATACGATCGGTCGGATCACACTACTGATCAAATATTAATATTGTCATTAACTTAATTAATTCGTTGTGTAATTCAGAAAAATGTGTTGAGAAAAATTAGGATACACAGCTCTTAACACAAGTGTTAAAGAGACAAAACAAGTAAAAAATTTACTTGTATTACACTTACAAAATACTACAACGCAAACTCTTAAGGACACGCCTTAGAAGCTATGACACTCTTTTTCTTTCTAAAGACAAACTCTAGACCACTCACTCTTACAAAACTACTCTTGCTTCTCACTCTCACTTGGTTGCCTACTTACTTGATTACTTTATTACAACACCACACCCATATTTATAGATGTGATCAGCCGACCTTCCTAAATGCCCATCCGACTTGGGCTTTCATTATAATTAACCTTCTAATTGTTTCTACAAACAGCCCACCGACATAGGCTTTTGCTTCACACATATGTTACAAGCTTCTAGAACTTTTTAGCTTCATATGCATCAACCTTATCTAGCATTTTCTTAATATGCATGCACCGGCCATTGCTAGAATTCTCTAGAATCTAGACACCAATTAGGCTGGTGTTGATCTTCAACAAAATAAGGTTTCGTCACAAAAAGTCCTGATGCAACTAGTAGAGAAAACATTCAATATAAGGAGACTTAATTTGGTCAGGCGTCCAGACGTGGGACATGCTTTAACAACTCCAAATCTCATTAAAATCAATTACACGAGTGAAGTCCAACCCCATTCCCATTAGAAGTGAATTTCACACGAAGCCACTAATGGATTGATCAGATTACAAAAGCTTAAGGTCCATGCCTTTATTTCTCTCCACAAAAAGGATTAGAGACTACTAACTAGCCACGAAGGCAAAGCTCTTAGTCCCCAAAATTTGGCCATGGCCGGCCTAACAAATGCTTATAGTGTAATAACCCCGGCGGCCCCGCCGTGGCTAAACAAAGGCGACAACGCATGGCAACTTACAGCCGCCACTTTTGTAGGGTTACAAAGCATGCCGGGCCTTGTGATCCTCTACGCCAGCATAGTGAAGAAGAAATGGGCAGTCAACTCAGCCTTCATGGCCCTCTACGCCTTTGCCGCCGTGCTCATCTGCTGGGTCCTTGTAGGCTACCGCATGGCCTT